GTCACGATGCCTCAGTGTCTCTCCTACAGCAGTGTCACGATGCCTCAGTGTCTCCTACAGCAGAGTCACGATGCCTCAGTGGTCAGCAGTGGTCAATGTGTGTCTATTGTCATGTTCCACACTTCTGACTTTGATTGTTCTCCCTTTCCCTTTGGCCCACCATTACACTATTGTTTCCGTATGACATCATCTTCAATTAGCTTCTCGACCAATCACAGCTCATCTTATTCACTATATAACATGGAGGTTCTCAGAAGGAAGAGGCCTTTTGTTTGACTTTGGTAATGCTTGGCTTTGGTTTTTGCTTTGCTTCACTTCAGGTTTTTGTTTTGTTTTGTTTTGTTTTGTTTTGTTTTGTTTTGTTTTGTTTTGTTTTGTTTTGTGTGTGCATTTTTGTATTGCTTCGGCTTTGTTGTTTTGTTGGTTTCTGTTCATCTCTTTGTACTTTCGTTTGTTTGTGTTATCCTTATTTTGCCACTACCTTGCCCAAACTTATTGTATCAACCTCTGTGTTCTTTTGTACCCTGTTACTTGTCTACTCTCGTTTGTGTTCGTAGTTCACTTGTGTATTTGTGTGAACTTTTGTGTATAGAGTCAGTTTAGGTTGTTGGGTACATTTTGCACACACGTAGTTGATTCTTGTATGAGTCACACTTGTTTAGTACGGGTGAGTGCCGTTTGTCTTGTAAGGTTTTGGGTAGTCAGTGGAGGCTAGCTTGGGTGTTGAAGACGCCGAAGACTGTGTGTTTTGGGTTTTCTTTTGTAGTGTGGTTAGCTTTCCCTCACTTTCTTAGCCAGCTCCATTTTGTTTATTTCTTTTCTTTGGCACCACTCTAGTTCCCTTACCCTGTGTAATTGTGTCCAATTACAAACCAGTCACTTATTCACCTTAAAATCATCACTCTTGCACTGACCCTTGTTATCACACTTCCTAGTCCTCACCAGAACCCACCTGCTTCCAAAAATTATCCTAAATGTTACACCCCTTTACCCCTAGACACTTGGGGTCATAACAGTCTCCTACGGCAGAGTCACGATGCCTCAGTCTGTCTCTTACAGTAGCGCTCGGTCTTATGCACTCTGGTCTAGACAGGCTTAGTTCCAGGAAGACACACTGGCAGAAGCCTCCTGACACACCCCCACCCCACACCCACGGGTGGGTTGGCAGACAGCTCACCGCGTGTTCTCCAGGGTCCGGATATCCGCCAGGTCAAACACTGTGATGATCACTGAAACACACAGAGCACAGTCAGGGCGCCTTGTCACCCCTGTCTCTGCACATCTGTCTGCGTGGCCCAGCTGTGAGTTTGTCCACGAGCTCTTCATCTGCTGCCTGTTCTCTCACTGCTTGCAGCCACAGCTCTGTAGCATCGGCTCTACAAATCTCTCTTCCTCGCACCCTCTCTCCCCATCTTTCTTCCCATCCCTGCCCCCCCTCCCCGTCTCTCTTGGGGGGCCTCTGGTGAGCCCAGTGATCCCTCCTGCCCCACTCACCCTGCGCTCCTCTGTAATAGGCGGAGGCGATGCACTTGAACTTCTCCTGTCCCGCCGTGTCCCAGCTGCACAGAGAGACAGTATCAATCGGCACCAAACCTCCTCTTGTGGGGTGCAGCTCTGTGCCCTTACGCACGGGCGCACTACTCACATCTGCAGCGTGTAGGGAATCCCAGATATTTCAAACCTCTCGATTTCAAAATCCACCCCTATTGTAGCCTTGTAGTCCCTGTCAAACACGTCCTTACAAAACCTGAGATAAACAAGAAAATGAGTAAAACATATTGCATTTAGCAGAGAAAGCACCCATCTAAGAAAAACAAAAGCAACGTGCTGCCCTTGAATTAGTCACACTAGAGATTTCAGGATTTAAGAGCATGGAGCACTGTGTGTAGTTTGCACAATACAGTTAATGAAAGTGTAATATTACACAAATTCTTTATGAGGTTATTCAAATTAAAATCTTAAAACAATATTTTTACAATATTAAATATTACAATTAAACATTGAAAACATTTGCTACTGCTTTCTAAGTACAGTACTTTAGTGTAGTATTTTTGGAAGTCATATACTTAGAATGCAGTATGTTATTCTGGAAAGACTGTTAACTATATGTCATACCTGTTAATAAGACATGTCTTTCCCACATGCAAATCCCCAACAACCACCACCTTTGAGATTTTAAGCCTGTGACAGAAGGAGAAAAACAGGTATCAGTCACACAGGGAAATAAATCAGAATCACACTCTGGGTTTTACAGTGTTGTCAATCGGACTCCCAGTGAACAGCAGTGTGATCCACTCTAGGTATCACAGCTAATTCACTTCTTCCATTTCCCAAGAGCTGCTGTGATCTGCAAATTGTACAGATACAGCAAAGCAGAAAAGCAAGTGTATGTAATATGGATTTTACTACAAGTCTGGGTACTTGAATGAATTGAAAATGCGTTAACAAGCTCTGGAGACTAAAGCCGTGTCTCAACATGCACACTAGCGGTCTTGCGGCTTTCATGTGCCCTTCATATATTTTATGTATAAACAAAATTTAATTCGGCTACTTTAGATTAGTACTGTATGTGTTCTTAGTACGAAGTTTTGAACGCGTTATGTTCCTCATACTGTCATGTTTTTGATAGGCAATGCGAAATGTATTTAGTAACACAAAGCTTCGATATGGCCAAGTTTTCCTTACTTCTCCCGGTTTGAGTCGAGCAGCTCAACATCACAGCTGAGCATGGTGTCACTACTTTTATGCAGTGACAGACGAGTGACATTCGATTCATCAAACAGCGAGCGGCGAAGGAAAAATTCTTCTAAAAATGAGCGGCCGACATGTACTTAGCCACTGGAAAAGAAACATCGATAACAGGAGGAATATCGACCCTGAGCTGTGTGACCAGTGAGTGACCCTGAGGTGACAGAAGTGTCCCATTCCCCTGTTTATAACGCTGCCCCTGGAATCCTCACACTGGTGCTGCGTCACAGAGGAGCGGACTTAAAAACATAGTTCCTGTTTGCTGCCTTGACAGAAATTGGCGTCGGCTTGTCATACTGTCGTCACTGCACGCCGACGCGTGTTGTGTCGGGGGTTGTGCTGGACCTGCTGTACTGGACTGGACTGACGTCAGCACACTGGACTATGACAAGGCTGGAAGCTAACGGACTTGGTTCCGCTGTCGTCTGTCATGTGTGGCCTCAATGCTGTCAGACTGTCCAGGTCCACAGTGGACTGAGCTTAGACCCAGACCCTGTCCCGGTCAGTGCAGAGGGTCAGTCTGTCAGGAGAGGATGCACTCCTTGGCCCTGGTCCTCAGCTGTTCTCATGTTTGGCATTAATTAAGTTATTGTCCCCGTGACCGAGGAACCGACACACACAGCTCCGCCCCACAAAAACATCCCGTGGGTCTTAATCTCATTTAAGACAACAGCCAGCAGGAGGAAATGAAAGTCATGACCCTCTGAGTGGCGGAGCCTGCGGCTGAGACCAGCAGCAGGGGGCTGGACAGTATCCACTGCAGCGCCACATCCAGATCTCCAGCAGGCCTCCTCTCTGCTTGTCTTAGAGGCTTCTGCCCAACTCTTTGAGTCCTCAAAGGTCTTCCCGGACTCCTCTCTGCAAAACTCCCGATATCTGTGCGTATAACAAGACTCTCCTCAGACTCCTGTTTTTTCTGTGTGCCATTAGTGGGCAACTCTCTTTCTAGGGCCTTCGAATAGGACTCCTGGTTTGTGCATCTGATAAAATCTAAAAGAAGACTTGCCCCCCGACCCCAGGACTCACCCAACATTCCTGGCGCTGCGGTCCTGGCAGGCGTTCCTCACCTGGACGTGCCAGTGGTCCTTCAGTTGGAGACAGGCCTCAGGTGTGTACCACTACAACAGAGCACATTGCGGCATGGGTGAGCAGCTCTTGGCTCATCAGACTGGCAGGGAGCAGCTCTCAACTCTCGGATCATCAGACTGGCAGGGAGCAGCTCTCGGCTCGTCAGACTAGCAGGAGCAGCTCTTGGCTCTCGGCTCGTCAGACTTGCAGGGAGCTGCTCTCGGCTCGTCAGACTAGCAGGAGCAGCTCTTGGCTCGGCTCGTCAGACTGGCAGGGAGCAGCTCTCGGCTCGTCAGACTAGCAGGAGCAGCTTTTGGCTCTCGGCTCGTCAGACTGGCAGGGAGCAGCTCTCGGCTCGTCAGACTGGCAGGAGCAGCTCTCGGCTTGTCAAACACTGGACTCCCCCAGACTCTGGGCATCCTTGCACCCCAAAGGAGTCCCCCCATGAGAACCATCAGTCCCCATTATTCTGATTTTATGTCCAGAGCTGCAATATCTCAGGTTTACAAGCTGGACTGCAAAGGGCGCAGAGCTGGGCGGTTGTGCTGGAGGCCCAGTCCTGAGCGCAACCTGCCCCCGAGTCCTGGAGCACTCAGCGGAGAGCAGCGACAGGTGCTCAGCAGGCGCTGAGTCATTCACCGGGCACAGCCCCTCGCCCTGTGGTGCTTGTGAAGCCTGCAGGCGGGGGCAGTGGCAGTAACAGTTGATCCCCGACTCCAGAGCTGACTGGTGACTCGCAGTCTTGTTGACAGACTCCAGTTTCCACAGAAACATTACCTGCTGCTCAGTGTTGCTCAGAAACAACAGGCAGGGTGAGTTCATAGGCACCAGACACACACAGCCACATGCCGGACATGTTACACTGCAGCAAAACTACCAGGAATTGAAAATATAAAAATAAAACTGTCAAAAACACTATTCATTTAGGGTCATATGGTTATTAATCAGCTCTAATCAGCTGACAATGCTAGAAAGCAGACCTGCCTTAACAGATCTGGAGTCCTGCTGCGCACATACTGTCAAGACGAGCAGCCGCAGACAGCGCTCTCCTCCTTGTTATGGCTCGGCAGCAGAGTATAGCTGCACCCTGACCAGAGCAGGAGGGCAGCGTGGGAAGGCTGACAAGCAGATCTATGAGATTTCCTGCTGATGAAGGGCTGTGACGTCATCACCTCGCCTGAGTCGTGCACCTCTGGAGAGCGATACCTCTATCAAGGGGGTGTCAGCGGCCTGCGGACGGGCGAGGGGCTCCCCTGCGGTCAGTAACTTTACAGACGACCCTCCCCCCACCAATGGCCTCTTCCAGCCAGAGCAGTCAGCTGCTTCTCCACTGACACTTTTCTCCGCAAAACAGCTTCTGATTAAAATCACCGGGACTGACATGGGACCAGCTGCCGGGACAGACCTGCCCTCCGGTGCTGCGCTCCCGATTCCGTGGAAAACACGAGGAGGGCGCAGACGCACCCGACACGAGGCCGAGGGGAGCAGGAGTCCCAGCGCCGAGCGGCCCGGCTCAGGACTATGTCCGCTGCGCCAGGGCCTTCGCCAGCTCGCCTGGTACAGGCCGTTCCTTCAACCCACCCAGAACAACAACGGCTTTGTTCCAGCAAGGGGAGCGGTGACTGCATGAGTTCTAACGCATTAACTTGTTTAATAATTAATGTCCCGGCACCCTGTCAACAGCTTGCAGGGGCAGAAACTAATTCCGCACCTACCAACAGCTATATCACCCTGGAGCTCAGCAGTGTGAGCCTGGCCAGTACCTGGATGGGAGACCTCCTGGGAAAAACTAAGGTTGCTGCTGGAAGAGGTGTTAGTGGGGCCAGCAGGGGGCGCTCACCCTGTGGTCTGACTGGGTCCTAATGCCCCATTATAGTGATGAGGACACTATACTGTAAAAAGACGCCATCCTTCTGATGAGATGTAAAACTGAGGTCCTGACTCTCTGTGGTCATTAAAAATCCCAGGGCGTTTCTCGAAAAGAGTAGGGGTGTAACCTCCCACTGTCCTGGCCAGATTTCCCCTCCCAGCCTTTACCAGTCTTGGCCTCATAATAATCCCCATCTCTGAACTGGCTTCATCACTCTGCTCTCCTCCCCACTGAGAGCTGGAGTGTGGGGAGAGGACTGGTGCATCACCCAGGTGGGGCTGCACACTGGTGGCGGTAGTGGGATTCCCCATTACCTGTAAAGAGCTGTCAGTGGAGAGTCCAGAATAGTGCTATAGAAGTGTGAGGAATCATTACTGTCATCAACGCGACCGAGAGCCCCTCTCAGGCCTCCTTCCTGCCACTCCCAGCGACTGGGAGCTCCTCACACTGACACACCCCTCCTGCGAGGATGGCGCCCCTCTCTCTGGCGCCTGCGGCCGCTCCGCACTGACCTTGGGGAACCGGGTCACGACGCGATCCCGGCTGACGGGCGCAGAGACACACAGCTTCCCGCTCTCCATCGTCTGCATCCCCGGCTCCGGCCCCGGCTGAGGAGACACAGCGAGGGAGGGGTGAGCGACTGGAAACAGGCCCAGAACCAGGAAACAGAACCGCCGTCAGCGCCCACCCCGTCTCTCCTCTCCTCTCTCTCCCCTCTCTCCCCTCACCCCGTCTCTCTGCTCCCCTCTCTCCCCTCACCCTGTCTTCCCTCTCTCTCCTCACCCCGTCTCCTCTCCCCTCTCTCCCCTCACCCCGTCTC